CTCCCTCCCCTCCCCGACCCTCTCCCTCTCTCTCCCTCTCTCCCTCTCTCCCTCTCCCCCCCTTCCCTCCCCCTTTCCTCCCACGAAAGCCTAACCAGCACCTCCTGCCAGAGACACGACTCGACGACAGGTTCGGAAAATGAGGTCCGCCCCAGCGGTATACACTGGGCATTTCCACCCGTCCTACAGTAGAGATCGTCTTACTGATAGCTTTCCCCCTTGCCTTTGTGCCCACTACAATGGCGTTGACGTTATCAGTTTTATTTTATCTTATTTATTTTCCCCATCACTCCGGCCAGACCGGACCTATTAACTGCACTGGATTTTATCCACTCGAATCCTCACCGCCTTCGTATGTATAGAGATAGATGGAAAGGTTTTGGGGGTTGGTTAAACGTAAGTCAAAAGTATGTGGACTGTTGGTTTACAATAAAGAAATAGCAGTTAGGACAAGCTCTCACGAGGGATTTGGCTTTACTTTTAGCTTTGTGTTCAAAGGAAGTGAGGTCAATTTTCAACGTTTATTGACAATGTCTAGAGTCCAGATGGATCCAAATTTAAAAACGAAAAGTTAAGGATGTTTTACTCCTTTCATACAAAAAAGGTCACTCAAGTGCCGAATATTAGAGGTGTTACTAGAGAGTAACGTGCAAAGAAAAAAAATAAGGAGGAAAGATAAGGACGATAGATGTTTGTTCGGAAAGAAGGTTCTACCACACTAGAGCGTCCACCAACCACCCACTGATAGATGTTTGATAAAAAAGAAGGAGCAAACCACACCGGAGCACCAGCCAACCACACACACCGCATTTAAATAGAATGATTTATGACGGGATGAATAGAATGAAGGAGAAATATGAGGCTGAGTGTATTAAATTTGATGGATTGCTACATGATTAAAAACAGATTGATTTGGAGAAGGATTAAAGGAGAAATGTGAGAAGGTGGACAATCGTATAGATGGAGAGATCAACTCATCCGTTTATGTGTTGAACTCTCTCTCTCTCTCTCTCTCTCTCGCT